AAAAAAGAGGAATTGCTAATAAAATCGTACCATTTGAGCTTTTTAAATTTAAGTCCATCCTACAGAAACGATTTGAAAAAGAGGCATGAATTTTTGTTGATGCAACGAGAGTCAGGTGAGGCTAGTCTTGTAACATTCATATGTCTCGATATTTTGTTCTTTTTTAATAATTTGCTTCGGGTATTAGCTATAATGGGGTATAAAAATGCACAACCTTGCAATTCGTGATTGGTTTGGGGGCATTTGGTGATCTTGGGACTCGGAACAAACCAGGTCCAAGTGTACCACATCCACTTTGAAAAATCATATCTCTCCTCCAACTTGTTTCCTCAGGATGAACTTGTGCTTGTTTTAAAGCTTAAACGGTCTACTTTCATCAAAAAATAGTTAGATTACTTTTTGTGCGATTCCTTCAACGTCGCAGCTAAAAAGGTGAAAAACTGAACATTCGAACTTCGGCAACGTGGCAACAATGGATGAAATTTCCAAAATGGACCAATTTTGTAATTATCGCCTGAAAGCTGGTGGTTTTCTCTACATTTTGAGACCAATATCATCTTTCTACGACAAAGCGTTAGCGAGATATTGCGAGTTTAATTTTTTTACTTTGACTCCCCTCCCCCTCCCTCCGTGATCGTCCGATTTCAAAATGCGTCAGTGTTTTAGACTCGGGAGGAGATCCTCTATCAACTTTGAAAATATTTCGAAGATCAGGCCAAGGTTGAAACGGACAATTTGGAATGAGGTCCTTTCTTCCTTGCTCTAGTCACAAGAACAAGAGGCAAGTGAGAATGGGAATCGATGCGCGATACGTCATTACGAATCTTTGTTTACATTCCAAAGAGCCAAAAACGTGAATTCTCACGATGAATGAGTGAAAATGTCTGTGTGTGTTTCATGTGCGTCTGTGTTAGTGACTACGCGCTCACAAAGGAACCAGTGCGTCTTCATGAGAGCGTTATCAGGCAACGCGCCGCGCCGTCGCTAAATAGTCACCAGAGACTCTGCGTGAAACTAAATTCGGCGATAGTACATAATAGACTAACTAACGGCAACCTACGAGAGACCCTTAAGTTACTCCATCATTTTTCTGGTCGTCCATTGACACTGCCCGTTTCGACGAATAAGATCGCTTCATTTTCGCGTGGTTTTCTTTATCGCTGGTCTACGCTGGTCAAATGATCAGCTTGATGTTTTTGGAAAATAGCTCTTTATTTCAGGACAGTTTCAGTCAATTTGAGGTAAGATAAAAGAAGCCTCTGTAGCAGACCATGACGACGTAAAAGGAGGGAATCGATAAGGATCTTTAATTCTTTGGCCCACCATGAATTTCCTCAACTCTACGATTTTTTGCTCATTAAAGGTCTACATTTTTTGGAATGCATCATGATTTGGTCATTTTCCGTCTCTTTTTGGGTCCAATACTGATCAAAATACTGGTATGAGGCCTGCTTTTAGTAAAAAAAAAAAAAAAAAAATCTGGTTAAACGGGTTTGCGGAAAATCTGCATTTTTCGCCGAAATTGGCCCTCAAACTCTCGTTAAAGTCAGTATAAGACCTGAAAATACACTAAAAGTAATGAAATTATGATGAATTTTATAAAATATAGACCTCTCATGAGCGAAAAATCGTAAAGTTGAGGAAATTCAGCTGGAGTGGGCTCAATTACAGCCTTTGTCGATTCCCCTTCTCAGTTTTTTATTTTAAGGACAGTTTCAGTCAATTTGAGCGAAGATAAAACCAGCGCTGGTAGAGCCCGATGGAAATGTAAAATTGACAGGAAAAAAAATTGTAAAAATTATTACTTCTCCAGTCGCATTCGAAAATGTGTGAGAGTACAATGTACTAGAGTTAAGTTCGAAAATTTCGTAAATGTACGTACAATCCGAATGAAAAAACAAGAAAATACTACGTAAAAACATTTATAAAATTTTACAAAAAATTCACGAACACAAAAGAAAAAGAAAAAAAAGACATTTGTACAAACACATACAGTACAGTTCTTAAAGTCATTCTAATATAGAACTACTTATTGACCAACACACATTTCTTTCCTTAAAATATAAATAAGCTCCCTTAGGAAGTGAGAAGAACGACATTTACGAATTTCAACCTCACTATGCAAATGAAGGAAATTGTTTTGCAAGGCATGATTCGTAGCTTATAGCAAAATTTCGGGGAGAATTACCCCAGCAGCAGAGTATGAAACAAAAAATATATTGAATCCCTGTGAAAATAAAGGAGGACGTAAAACTATGCATTGCACTTAAGAGGGATTATGGATAAAAGAAATTTAGTCATTTAACACTTTTTCAGCCTGAAAAATGACATAATAATAAAAATGTACACATACATGCTAAAAATCTTGGTATTACGGGTTTTATAAATGCTAAAATTCGGAAAAATGAGAAAATTTTAAAATTTAACTCAGGGTTGTTTTCGATGATGAAATTACACAAGCTTAAAGTTGCATTGTAAGTATTGATTATTGATTAAGGTTGCATGTAAACTAAGTCTCGGTTATTTTCATTACTAAAATCAATTGACAAATGCAAAAAAAAGAATAAAAAAATCCTGTATCTAAATTCCCCCCCCCCAAACCAAATAGACTTAAGTGAGGAAAAAAAATTATAAAAAAGAATGAATTAAAAATCTAGATCAATTATCAGAAAGAGTAAAATAACCTTACGGATCAATATAAAATGGGTAAATTAATCGAAGATACTTTATGGTATAAATTCACACAATAAATTCAATTTTCTGTCTTCAGCGAATAAGCTGTCACTATCATTATTTTATTTTAAATGTGAGAATTGACTGAGTTGAGAGACTTTTCCTTGAAAGGCAAAATAAATATTTACCGTCAGAAAATACACCAAATCGAACAATTTTAACTTTGGAGAAAAATCCTCATGGTCAAACAGACCTATGCCCATGGATTCAAGTGACTAGATTTACAAGTTGGACAATTTTCCAGTCTTTTGTCACCTCACTTCAAAGTCTGAGGTAAGAACTGGGAGTACGTACAATGTAATTGTAAGGGATACTGAACAGATGAAAATTAGGCTCATTTAATCGCAGTGGAAAGAAAAAAATTTGACAAATGATTATGAAAACCGAAATGAGACTGTTCAATCATTGCTCACTTCGTATTAGCAAGGGGTCCATTCTACTAAAAAAAGTTCACAAAAAGCTTTAAAATTTCGATTATATAGTACATATTTAAAACCAGTAACATATTTCAGTCAAAAATATTTGTGTAGTTAGGAGAGATAAAACGGTCTCGGAGAGAATTTTAAAACCCTACTTTAGAGTTACCAGAGACCAAATTTTTATCAGCCACCTAATGGAAACGGCCGAAATCATAGAGTGAGCTCTTCTCTTTATTTTATGAACTTATTTTATATTTCAATTTAATTTGCATGACTTTTCATAGAAGCAATGCATAATGAATAGTAATTGAATAATTTGAAGGAAAAATAACGATATAAAAATTAACCATTAATCAGGAAAAGAGCTACAATGATGACCTCGTTCTTTAATATTTGACCCATTCCAATTCATGAATGAATACATTCGAAAATAACCTACCTCCTTTTTGGAAGAGTTCTCTTTCATCTCTCTCCATGTGACTCAAGCTATTTTGATTTTCTTTCCTTTAATAAAATGTAATATTTAAATTTTCACTACACTATAGCTAAAAAAAAGTAAAAAAAGCTGAATAATTAGCTTCAAGAGGAAAGAGGAAGTGTTTCGAATAAAGAGATGGGTCATTTTTCGAAATGCATGGTTCAGTGGAGCTGTTGCAGGATTCTGAAATTGTCTCAGTCTTTGGCATATTCAATGTAAATTTTCGTGAGAAATGCATCTGTGAGCTTAAACCAGCTCTGATTTAACCTTGACTTGACTTGTACCAAGTTAGAGTATCCAAAAAATGTTTCTCTTCTTGTAATTTTTTACAGTTAATTTATCTTATTAATGATGTTGCGGAAATGAGCAGGAGCAGAGACAAGGAAGGATAAACCGTAAAAACTGCATTGCGAGAGAAACAGCAAAATTTTCTTGAGCATAAACAATGATGGTGAAAACAAAGAGGTATTTAATTACACATGGGTCATTACAAAATCTGTAGGCTTAATGTTTTACCATTCGAAAAGGATTCAGATTTTCTACGACTTTAAACTCAGTTTCTTGCTAAAATTTGACTACTTGATGCATAAAAAAACGTATGCTACCTTGTGTGTAAGTAAAAGAAAAATCATGCAACAGCTCATTAAGATTGATTTCTGATATTGTGCTTTTCAGAGATCTAAATTCACATGGAGTTACAATTTCCTGAGACACATGTCCATCCCAATTTCGTCTCAGGCACGACAAATAAGATACAGCAAGAAAAATATAATCTCAGGAACTATTTACAGCTTCATCAAATTATTAGATTTTTAAAACTTAAAATTAAATTAGTAACTTATTCTTAGCACAGTCATCGTAGCTGGAGCTAAAAAGCGAAGTGACAGATAAATGGTTGACTCTGTGGCTTCCTGAGCGAAGAAATTACAAAACTACATGGTAGGATTGGACTTCATTTTGCAATTAGGAACTAAAATTTATGGCTCATCCCTGAAAACACTTATGTGTATAGGGATACATAATATCAGGATACGTTGTTTCTAAACTGAGCCTGATATTGTAGCTTCTAATTGCAAAATGCTGTCCAAGCAAGACATATCAGAGGACAAAATTTAATTCAATGCACCAAATCTTAATTTTTTAACAATGAACAGCTGAACAGTCACCATGCACATGTACCTTACAGAACTTACACCACACCAACTACTTAAAAAATGCAAACAAAACATTCGATATTATCTATTTTAGTTAGAACTTACGACAGATTGTTGAGTTCTGTAAAGCTAAGATAAGGGGTCTACTTAAGAAGGCATGGTTAAGTAGATAAAAAGAAACCACAAATGAGTTATTTGATAGCAAGTATTGAATGAATTTCACCAAGAATTTAAAATCCTTAATTCAGTCTGACTAAAGAGTATATCGTAGTCTAAACAATATTTGCACCATCAAGTTATATTACCTAAACTTGTAACCTTGCGTTATGAATTAAGTTAATTTCTTGTATGGTTCCTCTTTTACAAAGTCCAAACTTAGAAATTGACAGAGTATCCAATTAGGAGAAATACAAAGAGACCATGAACGTTACATACCGACCCTAATTGAAGGATATGTTTGAAGTTTGACACTGATCTACGTAATTTCTATCATTAGAGCACGCTATGTACAAATAAATAATATAAATAAATAAAAATGATAAAACGTAAAAAACCTAGAAAGTTACAAATGCGAAATGCACTTAGCGATATTTGTGGCACAGTTATTTATTGAGATTTACACACTGAAGTCACGAGTCGATAAAATTACACAATAGTTTACAAATTTTGATTGGATAAACTCGAATCCCACAAGGTTCTATCGCTGACTTAATTCAATGAGATTTCTGAGAGATATTTCTTAAGGTGGTACGTAAGGCGGAGGCATCCTATATGTTGGCGTGGGCTTGGGCCGAGATTGCCTGTCCGTGTCGCCCCTCGAGGTCGTGAAAGGCGGTGGGGGCTGGTAGGGAGAGTCCTCAGTATCCGATAGAAGGGCTGTCGTGGGCAGAGGCAAGGCCCTCGGGTACTGCGGGGGGGGAAGAGGAGGCCGCTCCTCTTTCATGATGATCGGCGACTTATTCGACGGCTCTTCGAATTTCTCTTCCAATTCGTCTTGGAATATCACAGGGATGCCTTTGCTCCGGAAACTCCGCCGCTCGTCCTCGTCGCTGATGCTCATTTTACCCGTTCGCTTCCGTCGGTACAGGTGACACGCCAAGAAGCTCGAGAAGACGAGCATCACGAAGATGATGATGGTAGGAATGACGAATGTGACTAGGTATTCGCCGGACGCTGAGACCGGTTGAATGTCATCGATGACGGGCACTATCAAGTCGGGGATGTAGACCTCCGTGTAAGCGGTCAGACATACGCCGGCCGGTGCAACATGCGCCGAAACCACGTGGAACTCTGGTCCCATGACTTCGTTGACACGTTTCTGGAGAGATGTGTCATCGTCTGTCAGGAGCACCTGTAATGAATCAAGAGTTCTTAATATTACTGTCAACTTCGTTACTCCCATGGTACTTATCTCGAAGTGCATAGTTGCCATTTTACTTCTTTACTTACTTTCATTTTTCCCAGAATCGGTAACATTGACCTCATTATCTTATCCATCAAGCGTTATTCGGTAAGTGTGCGCTTGAAAAAAGGAAATTTGACTTTAAAAAAAAGGAAAAACTTTTGAGTCTCGATCTTCATCCAGCACTACACCAGGGTGTGCCAACATCGCAGTGTATCGAACTATCCTTGAAAATTTTCTTCCAGTTAACCTAATGCACACACTTATTGTTAAAAACTTCGTTGTTTCCCTTCAAGAGCACATTGGAAAATCATAAAAATTGCTAAGTAGCTGTCCATAAATGAGGTAACGCTACAGGTGGGGAGGGATCAAGGGAATTGCTACGTCAATTTGTTTCTACATGTCGAAGATTAGGGACTACATCACAAAAGCTTCATAAAGGGGGAAAGGGGAGGGGCGGTCATAAATTAAAACAAAAATGCAGTAAGTAATTTATGGACGCTCCATTCAGAAACTTTTTGACAGTTCTCCAAAGAAAGAGTGCGATTGAAGAGGATATTTCAGAAACTGGAAAATTGACATGCCTTTAAAAGGTGCAACTGACAAAGCAATAAAGATTAATATCATTAAATTACGTCTTTGAATGTCTACTGGAAAAACTTTGTTAATGCATGCAAAGTGGCTTCAACAAGCGAATAAAATAATTGGAGAGTTCAAAAAAACAAATAAATGAATTAATAGATAGATAGATAAATAAATAAATAAATAAATAAAATGAAAAATACTTATTGAAATATTGATACAGGAATGATTTCTCAAGAAAATGGCTTCTCTCCATATGCAGGGTTCAATATTCTCATTTTCAAAAATCCATGATCTTCTCAAAGCAATTAATCCGCTTTTGAAATGAACCTTTGAGAGGTCTTTCTTCATAATGGGAGATTGCACAAAGTCACTTTCACAACTTGTTTCTTTTCACTTGTAGGGTCCTACATTCACCATCATTCTTCTACTTTGGACGAAGAAAAATACATGTAGCGGACTAAAGAATTTTTGGGCATAATCATCTCAGTGTCATCAGATTACACTCCTAGCTTGATTGTGCACGCGACTAGCGTCAAACTTTAATTGACTTTCTGAATTTCATTCCAAAATAATAGGAACCAACGACTGGAGGTCTCTTCTTTCTGTGTTGTTGGTTTTAAGGTAGCCAGCCAGTCAAAACATTGCAAGGAAAAGAGATAAGACTCATCATAACTCACATAAAACCCGTGTAACCCAGGTATATGCTCTACTTCCCGATAGTGCGCCCGATAGATAAGCTTTCTTTTTTGCATTGCACAGTTAAGGGTCATTTTTTCTTGTATTCATTAAAACATACATGTTGAAGAGTAAACAAAATACATGGTCTTTATTTCCAAAAAGATCATTCAGCCATTGTAAAAGAATTTAAAAATCAAACCATTCCACTTTACGGAACACACATGCAGACGTAGCGAAGCATTAAATTGCAATTTTAATACATGGTGCCTGGTGCGAATGGTAAGTTAGTGTGCAAATGCATTAGTAACTCAAAGTAAGATTCCGAAAAGCCTTTGAAAAAAAATTTTAACGATGCTTACTCCCTTTAAATACTGCTTTGCACCTCCGCTTGAGAGCAAAAAAAGTAAGCTTCTGCAAAGCCTTTGAAAAAAAATTTAACTATGCTTACTCCCTTAAAATATTGTTTTGCACCTCCCCTTGAGAGCAAAAAAATATACCAGGAAGTCAAGAATTTGAGCAAAATTACCGACTTTACAGGTGATAAAGCCTCCTCACCAAAATTGGGCTAAAAAACCGACTAACTCTCTTGACATCTTGCAGAGCTAATGAGGTTAAAATCAAGAGGAGGGCATATTGAGTGTTTCTGATTACTCCGTTGAACAGATCTAAAAGGCACAATCATGAGACGAATCAAACTAGAAAAGCAGGAACGAATTAGTTACGTTAAAAGTGAAAATCCTATTTGAAAAAAACTCAGAAAACTTGAGCAGTTGCTCAATAAGCTGATATACGCAAGATAGTCGATTTAATGAGCGATGAATGTGTGGAGAGGAAACTCATAAATCAGGGAAAATTTGATAAAAAGTATTACTTTGAAATAATAGTGACGTAATTAGAAATAAAAAAAAGGAAACAAAAGAAAATTAAAGAATATTTCTTGTAAGCAATTGTATTGAAAGGATAGATGAGGTGACGGTTGAACAAAAGGCGATGATGCCATGACTGACAGGAATTTTCAAAAAAAGTGGCTTGGCAGTGACATCCATATGTTATCTTCCACACTATTAATGACCTTGCATGGTCAGTTTAGTCTACTGATTATTGGTCTTATCTTCTGAATATTCAAATATTTTCTAAGTATTTCAATGAGGCAGTGGTAAGGAATTTTTGCATGGTTGTGGCAAAGTTTTCCTTTTGTAAAATTTTATGAAAAAACCAAAGAGCTTATTAAATAGCTCAAAAAACATTCCTCAGCGGAGAAAAAGCAAGTCAAAATCCAACCAATCAAAAGCCGACAGTCAAGTTGACAAAGCAAGCCGATACCCGCAGCTGAGTTCAGTCAATCAGCAACAGTTTCCCCGTCTGGCTACATCATCAGAGCCGGTTAAAAATATCTATTTAAACGAAACCCATTTCAAGCATTTTTAAAGCAGGGTTTCTTTGCCATATGGGCTTTAAAAACTCTCAAAAAATTCCTAGTAGCTCAGTTCACTTTGTACTTCTGGAAAACGAATTGAAAAAGAAAATGAAATGATGTCACTGACCTATTATCTGGTACCTGTCTTCACCACAGATCTCCAAAAAATGGAAGTTCTATGCTCTTCTACATATTATATGTACAGCTCACCCCTTAAGCACAAACAGCGAACTCATGTCGTCATGCATCATGCAAATTTGAGAGATAAAAATAAGAATGAAATCAATAATCTTACTTTGCGAAGCAAAGCTCCTACATCCTCAGGACATTTTTCAGTGGACAAGCTACGATTATGCCATGTGATAACAGTAGAGCCAGGAAGTACTGATTCGATCACTATATTGGAAGTGTCTGGATCGTTGAATAACAGCGACAGCCGCTCAACAAAATGTCGCTGAATAGTTGGGGTGTCGATGAAAGTTGAATAACCTGGGGTGTCTATCACCATGCTGAAATCCATGCTGTAAATGACTTTGGGGGGCGGCTGGACATTTGCGACTAAGCCGTCGTTTGCAGCCTGACCAGTCTTGTCCTCACACACCTGAGGAACAGATCAGTTGCATTAATCTTGAGAAATTTAAAGTTTCATGGAACAAAAGGTTAAAAAATTAAGGACTCAGCTTTAAAACAAATGGCCACTCATAGAGGAAATTGCCTAGGTATTGTAAATAAAGAGGTACCGGTGCCGTAATATACACGAGTGCTACGTGCTACAAAAATGGGAATTTGCGAAGATGCGAAAACCCGCATCTCAATTTGCAGACGTTACAGACTACCTGCCAAATGGTATTTTTCATTGGATAACTAGTCACAGTAATTTCTTGAAAACTTCTTCTCTGTCATAAACAGAATATTCTGTATAAATTTCGAGCTAAAAAGTTGGCTTGTTTCTCTTTGAAAAAATAAAATAAGAGCAAAAATTTTGAGACATCATAATAGAGATACAAGGTTTCTGACTTTTGGTCATAAATGTGGGCAAAAAAATAAATGTAACAACTGTTAAGCAGAACAGGATTTTCTGTACTTGGGTGCTTGTTTGGAGTTTGAAAAAATGTATTTTTGAGAAGAAAATATTTGAAGCTTGGGCTTTCAGTTGTTGAATTCAAAAATACTTTCTTGTGTCAAATAGCACAGAAACAAACTTAACAGCACACAACTAATTTTTTGGGACACAAAACTTTGTCTCAGTCAAAAACTCAAACGGTCAAAAAGAGTCGATTCGAGTTGAAATTGTAAAAAATAGACATACAATGAGAGTGATATAATAAAATCTTTGAATTCTGATACCTAGATGTGAGTGACAAAATGTAAATTTTGAAAGTTGACTTACCAACAGGTATTCTTTTCGACCAGTATCATTGATGGAAGGAATGCCGAAAAATTCTTGATTCTTAGAGTCGAACTGTAGCCAGTTGTTGTGGGGGATTGGAGTTCTGTCTAACGTTAAAAGGGAAAGCTTCAAGTTTGGTGTGAAACCATCTTCATGATCGTAAAACGTGTCCTAAAAAAAGAGAACAGAAGAAACTTAACTACAAATAATCGCTGACAAAGGGATAGTATTTTTTTTAAACGATTCTCACAACAGTTTCAGAGACAAGAAAGAGTATTTACAAAAACTTTAGGCAAAACTTTTATCAATACTATGCATTTCGTTGTCTCCCGCATGAAAAAACATACCTCAATTGCCTTATTTTAGTATTTCTCTCATATATTTTTCTTCTTAAAGGAAAATCGTCACATTATTCCTCTGAAATTTCTGGTCATTCTTCTTTATCTTTATGTGAATAGGCTCTGAAATTCGTACAACAGTTCTCTCATCAAAAACTCAAATGTTCGTAGGAATACTAAAACAGCGCACACAAGAAATGCTTCTTCTTTCATGAGATTAAGATTAACCTGATATGCCTCAAGATGAATTAGCACTAAAGGTTAGGACTGCAAAATTTTAATTTCACTTAAATTTTTCCCTTTGACCTGGAACTGGATGGGACTAAGTGTAATTCATGTATTTTTCTTAAATTTTTTGAAAAAATAACTTCATTTTTTGGTTGAAGGTCAAATTCAATATTTGCTGCCAGTTTAGAACTGAAGGGAAGAAATATAGCTTAAGTTGGAAAGAATCTAACACCAACTGAAAATTTTCAGTACAGCAAAGCCGAGCAGAGCTTGGAACTTAAAGATAAAGCCTAAAAGTACGATTCACTGGTTTCTCATTGAAAAAAGTGTCCCTAGGGCATCAGATGAGAAAAGACTGAACAATTACCTCGGGAACTTTGAAGACATATAGCTGTCCCACAGTCGCATTGATGTAGTCAACAGGATTGCGAGTGGACGGAGAGTAATTTTCAGGTTTTGGGTAAGATGTCGGAAGTGATGATTTGTTCTCGCACTGACCGATTCCTTGCCAAGAGATTTTACTTATACTTAGGTATGGATGCAATGCTTCATTCACAGAGGGCTTCACCTTCCCTGAATCAGGATCTGTGGCCAGAACCTTTTGGAAAAAATAAAAATCAATGATACAGAATTTCCGACAGTTTTGGATTTTCAAAATTCCAAACTTTTACAGGGTTCCTTAATAGTCCAGTACCAATAGATCTAAAAAGGGGGTTATGAATGCAAGAAAGAGGTCAGAAGAGGTTAAAGCTGATTTTTATGTATTTTTGGTCGCTGAATCCGAATTTGATGCTTCCCACCAAATCCGTCTTGTGCGTTTTCCGGAAAAGCCGGAAAACTGCCGAAAATCACGTTTTTACGCGCTTTTCCGGGAATAAATAGCTTAATATTCGTCGGAACGAAAAATGAGTTATTAGCAAAAATGTAGCCAAGTAAATTGCCGACAAAATTGAAATGAACAAGTTTTCGCTAGGACTGAAATTTAAGCCACCAGAGCCCGCGAAAGTTCGAAATTTGCCGAAAATCACGTTTTCTCGCGCTTTTCCGGTCGTAACTTCCTTAATTCACCTTGAAACGAAAAAGTCAACGGAAATGAAATTTTAGATAGTCAAATTTTGAACGAATTTTGATGAGACATTTTTTGATAAGAGTCATTTTTCGGCCGCTAGAGCGCGCTGAAGTGCAAAAAACCCCTGAAGATAGGCAATTTCGTCGATTTTCTTTTCGATTTCGATGATATTAGCAGCATATCATTTGGAAAATAATTGCGTATCATGGCAGAAATGTATATTTGAATCGCGTATTTCGTTTAAAACTTGTTGTAGAGCTTTTATTCCGCTCGCAACTTTGACGAGTGAATCCGTAGCATTGCATGGAGGATGACATTTGTGTATACACGGACGAAAATCAAGTGAACGTACGTTGCATTTTGTGCTCTCGTCCAACTTGGAGCCTGGAGGAAAACATAGGTAATATCCTCAATCTTGACCATAGCTCTTTGACCAGGCCGAAGCAGCTGTGGTCACTCGTAACGCCGGGAAAGCCCACTTCGAAGCCTCGTGGAGTGCTGCAATACAATAGCAGCAGGGATAGGACCGGGCATGTTTCAACGGATTGTGGCGGCCGCGCTTTGTGAAAAGTGAAAAGCCAGCCATGATTGGGGGAGGAGGGCTAGAGGGGGTGAAAACTCTCATTGTACGTCATGCTAAATCTAACACCCTGCGAAGATATTTCGGCCAGCTTCTGCTAATAAGCATTTTTGAGGGTATTATGTCAAAAAATGTGACACTGGGAATCTGAGACTGACCGGCTCCTAATTTTTAGTCTTCGGTCGAATCTCTGTCTTTCAACATATTTCGTCTCTAGCTTAAATGCACGTGTAAATTCACTGATTCCTTGAGTTTTCCACTGATTATAATCATTTTTACGTCGGAATGTTACGTTAATTCTTGCGCCGTATCGATAATCCGTGATGAATTCGTGTTTTTTTTGTGAAAGGCCGCTTGAAACGGCCAGAACAGTGTTGGCAGGGAAGAAAGGCTTGCCTTCATTGCGGAGAGCAAGTGTTAGAAGAAAAGATAAAAAAAAACTCGAGTTATTGCCTCTCTCGCTAAAGTGAACGTGCATTATAAGTGTCAAAAAGAATATGTGAATGAAAAATTAATCGTTGCTCAATTAAAGCGGATGCGAAAAATTCAGGAATGTTCTATCGAGCCGAGGCAAGTGCGCTCCGATGAGCCAGAATTTGACTTTAAGCGATGTTGTTTCTTTTGTGGTGAAAGGATTCCTGCAGACTTACAAACAAAAAACAATAAACTTCCATTGCATCCATTGCTTCCATTGATTATTTGTCCTGATGCAAAACCGTTGTCGACAATCTCTCGAAAAGGAGGAGGGAAGGACTTGTATCAATGTGCTCCAGATCAAGGCTTAATATTTCGCCGCATTTGATTCTCATGTGTTACCTACTATAATGATTGATTAAAATCTCCAAAATGTTCATAAAATCCACTGTTTTTTCTTAGCCCTCCAATTATTTTATACAATTTTTGTTTAAAAAAAACTATCCTTTAGAATCCATTTTATGCATGTATTTGCGGCTGTTGCGCTTGCGGTTAGGTGAAGAAGGGGGGGGGATGGGAGCTTTATTTTAGAAAAAGTAATTCCTGATGTTTTCTGTTTTGCAAATATCCATCGATTCTTGAATTTACAGTGCATGAACCGCTAATATCATCGGAATCGAGAAGAAAATCGACGAAATTGCCTATCTTCAGGGGTTTTTTGCACTTCAGCGCGCTCTAGCGGCCGAAAAATGACTCTTATCAAAAAATGTCTCATCAAAATTCGTTCAAAATTTGACTATCTAAAATTTCATTTCCGTTGACTTTTTCGTTTCAAGGTGAATTAAGGAAGTTACGACCGGAAAAGCGCGAGAAAACGTGATTTTCGGCAAATTTCGAACTTTCGCGGGCTCTGGTGGCTTAAATTTCAGTCCTAGCGAAAACTTGTTCGTTGCAATTTTGTCGGCAATTTACTTGGCTACATTTTTGCTAATAACTCATTTTTCGTTCCGACGAATATTAAGCTATTTATTCCCGGAAAAGCGCGTAAAAACGTGATTTTCGGCAGTTTTCCGGCTTTTCCGGAAAACGCACAAGGCGGATTTGGTGGGAAGCATCAAATTCGGATTCAGCGACCAAAAATACATAAAAATCAGCTTTAACCTCTTCTGACCTCTTTCTTGCATTCATAAACTCCTATTGGTACTGGACTATAAATTTTTAAAGGAGGTATTCACTCCAAAAAAAATTTCGACAACCCTATTGATTTTTTCTTACTTTATGAACGAACAACAAGGTCAAAAATCAAGCATTGTAATAAATGTTCTCCATCAAAATAACACGAATGACATGGTGGACAAATTGAATATTTCCGATTATACAAATTAAGTGAGTGATTAATGTTTCCTTTCCTGTTGATTCGATATTCTCCCTCACCAAGGAGGCCCAAGTTTTGGCAAAAAAATGTTACGAAAAATCTGTTACCAGTCGAAAATTCTAATCCTAATCTTAAAAATCCCTTGAAGGAATAGGAGGATTAATCCTTTTCAATTATGGAATCTGTAAAGTTGCGATCAAATAGATTGAGGTTCTACTACGTTGATTATTTTGAGAGTAAGTCAAATTTCTTGTTTCTGATAATCTGTTTACTGACTCGAAATTTTTTCCAAAGGTTCCTTCAGGTTAAAGAAGTCAATTTGATAAAGAGCACTGATGAAAAGGAGAAACTTACTGAAATCAATTTCTTCAACTGGGTAGTGGGACACTGATTTGTAGGCAGAGAGTCATTGGTGTAGGAAAAAACTACTGGGTCAGCTTTCAAATCAACAGAGCGAACGGTGATGTGTGTTGTTTCGTCTGGATCGTTGTTCAGCTTGGCTAGCTTTCCTACTAAGAATAATTCCCAGTCGACTGCGGATGAGAAATGTAGAGGCGCATTGATGTGAACATACAGATTGATTTCGTGATTGAGAGCGCGCAATCTCTTGTGGTGCTGTACATTGAGTTCCAGCGTTTCATTTACACTAAGACCGCCGGAATCGATTGCCTCGATGTTGAGGAACCAACGTGAGACATGTTCCTCTATAGGTCTGAGACAAGAAGAAAACAGAAAAATGTCAGTTTCACTTGCACAGCTTATGAAGATTTCGCATGGCAGTCTACTACATTTTGATGAACAGTTTGGTTAAATTTAAGGCAGTGGAAACATTTCTGACCAGATCTGTGAAAAAAGACTTAATCTTTCAGGAGAAAACTCACTTCAACTTTTTGCAAACACTTAATCCACGCTTTTCTATCCCGTGAATTTTGGTCTTGGAACTCACGGTTAATATCTCCTTCAATTTTTGAGATTTTGAGGTCAAACTTTCACCAAAATTACCAGATTTTTCTTCTTCTTTCTCCATACGTTTGCAAGAAGTTAAGGAAAATTACCTCTTGGCAGGTCCGGTCCCTTTCCACAGATCTCGGCACATATATAACCACTTGTAGGTAATAAGTTACGGAATCAACAGTTTAGAGCCAGTGGCCTTGATGTAAGGTGGGGTAAAACGATGTTTCAAGATGAAGCATAACATTCATACTTAGTTGTGTAGATTAAAAGGGAATTATGGAGGAAAATAACTATACAAATTTTTACTAAAGATTCATATAGATTGTTTCATAATTTTTAGCTCTTTGACAACAACATTGTAACTTTGAAGATGCTTCTTCCAAAAATACTTTGATACTAGTTGAATTTTAGACTACATTGGGTAATTTGGATCGACAATGTCTGGCTTGGTTTAGAAACAATGTATGTACCACTAATTTCCTTGTGCGCATAAGTGTTTTTAGAGATGAGCCAGGAATTGTAGTTTCTAATTGGAAAATGAAGTTTATTTTGTTATGACAAATTTACAGCTACTCATTTCTGCAAAATGCAGAAATGAGTTGTACTGTATTTTTGCAGTATGATAGTTGACTAAAATAAAAAAATAACAAAAGAAATTAAAACAACTGCTTCCTTGCATATAATAAACGTGACAAATCCAACTATTCCCAAAGAGCCTTGACATTTTTTAATTCAGATTCAAGCAGATCAAGCAGAAGATCAAGCAGAAAAAACATTCTTTAAATAGCACTGTAAGAAATTTCAAATAAAATTGTAGGACTTACAATGCATAGATTTCTTGAGTGTTTGGATTGAATTGTACCCATGAATTAGGTGATATTGGGTTTCCTTCCATTTTAACGACTAGACGCAAAGTATCATCTTCAAGATCTGAGAAGGTATCGTTGGGAATCTTAAACCTGAATAAAGAGAAACATAGGACAAAAATAAAATACGAGATTTAGGGGGATGATGGCGCTCCTTTTCATAGGAGGAAATGTGCCTGGGCATGGGATGCAGCTAGTTCCAAAATATTCTGCAGAACAGTCAACATTTAAGTTCATGATATAAAAGTTGTAGGCATTCACTACCATGCTGAGGAAATACGACAAATGAGTATTCGAATGTTGTCAAATGTCCTCTCAGAAAATAATTATTTTTGAAGCAGCTTATGAATATTTTTTCATGAAATTTTCAGGAGCTTTACCTCAAATTACGAATAAAATTCTCTGAAGATTTGGAAGAAAAGTATTGACAAATTTTCAAGAAAATTCATAATTTATTGAAGGAAATGTGGCAACATCTGGAGACTCAAACAGCGTTCTTTTTTAACATGGTAGTTCAGCACTCAAAGATTTAGACTTGTTGACTATTAAATAAATGCTTCGTCTTAATTTCCAAAAATTTGGTGTTTGGGTGGATCTTATTTTTCTTCACAGATCAATTATCTGAAATTAACAAAACACAATTCTTTGACGATCCCAACTGACCCGATCAATGGCCTCAGATCAGGTGAATCCAAATTCCAGTAGAAAAATAAAAACTCTACTTGATAAAATAAGAAGACAGCTAGGTTTTGAATAAACTTCAAGTGGTCAAAAGGAAATTTGCATTACTCAATGATATTTATACCTGAAAACTTTTCCAGCAGTGAGAGCAGATTTTGGCAAGCGGTGTTGAATGGTCGGAGGGAAATTTTTGGTGTCATTTTCAATTTTTTCTGTCGGAGCTGGCGACGGAGGAGAAAAGATAATTGATGAGGTAGGGTAGTCTCCAGAGGAGGTGATGTTGTCATCATTGTCAGGAGTTCCTGCATCAGGAGCCTGTTGAGAAAAATATTTCATCATTTTTTAATATGACAAGAAAACTTAATATATTTTACAAATAATTCTTTTTTTGGAGAAGGGGGGGGGGTTTCTAAGTTGCAAGATGTAATCGACAGGGGTGCAGGAATTTCCTACACAAAGACTGTTGATCAAACAGTTTGGCCTCCTGGCCAAATGTCCAATTTTACAAGAAGATGTGCCATGATGTAATATGTAAACGAAGGGTAATAATTTTTTAAAATTTCCTCACTTTAAAAGACATTTTGTGGGGCATCTACAGACTCAGCAGAAAAAATTTCACAGACTTTCCCAGGTTTTTGCTGACTAAAAAAATCGGGATTTGATGACTTTTTACAATACGATATATTACATATGCATAACTGGAGATAAAACTTTTTTGGAATAAACATCGTTGTAAATGACAGACACATGTGAAATTTTTTCCTTCAGGAGTGAATCATTCAATTAACTAAAATTGCACTTCCTCATTCAAAATTATTCCTTTCTGGAGAATTGAATAAAGACCCAGTATGATTGCTTGGGTAGTGCTGATGTTTTTTTCACATGATAAGTTTTCAGATTTCTTAAATTTTTCATAAAAGTCAGTGACTTGAATTTTCTGGTTTTCCAGACCTGTAGACACCCTGTCCTAGGATTGTGAGATCGGGCATTCTCTGCACCACTGGTGACTGAATTCTGATCACAAATACATACATTTTACTGGATGCTTTCAGAGCACTGGAAATAAATGGATGAAAAATAATATCTAATATCTTTAAAACGAGGAGAAAAGCGAGAGAAAGTATTACTTACTTCGGAACTACTGAGATCAGGCAAAGCTGTTGAGGCAGGTTCGAGGAAAGTAGGAGATGGGGCGATAAGGTCTTCCAAAGTTGCTGATCTACTTTTCATTTCATAAACTGGAGGAGAATAAATCATACCAGTAGGGCGCACAGGATCCTAGAGAAAATATGATACACATTAGAATTTTGGAACAAATAAAAAAACAATAACATTTTAATTAATCAAAGAGGGTACAATGAATTAATTGACCATCAATAAATTCAAAATTTAAGAATGTGGTTAAACTTGCTTCTTGGAACGGTGCTTAGATATTTTTTTTTTCCAGTCCACAAAAATACAGGAGAAACTAAGTGAATTCCATGGTGAAACTTACCAAAATGTGTCATAATTGAAATGTTCCAAAATTTCTGCACTTACTATATTTTTTTGGGGCGTAAAAGATCAACAGCTTGGAATGTTGATAGGAGGAGCATGAAATGTTACTGAAAAATCGGAGAGAATTTAAACCGAAGATGCTGATTTGTTCATGTTGCGAAAAATAAAGCATGCCTGGAAATGGAGTGTTGTAATTGGTTTTAAGGTTCAGTCATCAAATATAAGTCGAACATCTCATGCTAGCTTCGAAAATAGAAATAACAACAGTGGTGGTTTTAATTAGTTTGTAATGATTCATCAGAATTTCAAGAAAAAACGTGCTTCACATAGTTCGGCTGATACATATTAGAGAAAGTACTGTTTCAGATGCAATCATAAAAAACTACATCATGTAACTCATTATTATGTTTTACTTGATCAGACATATGGAGCGGTTTCTACTTTCAGTTCCAACTAATTTTGCCTAACTAGTCATGAATGTAACAACGCATTAGGATGCCATCTGCCATCTGTGCCATCTGCCATCTGTGCCATCTGCCATCTGTTTCAATATTAATTTTTCGTAATGTACCTATAGATTTTGTGGCAAAAAAAGTTATATGTGAAAAAAAATTATATAATGTCAAAAAAATAAATAGGTACATTACGAAAAATTAATATTGACACAAATGACGCAGATAAACGCATTAGGTGCTTAAAACTTACAAAAGTTGGTGTTGGCATGACTGAAATGACCGGATCAGGACTTTTGTACACATGTGATACGGGTGCCAGCGATTCTCCATGATGATGTCTATGAGGATGTAAAGGTGTTGACTCAACGGTTGCAGGATGAAACGAAAAGGATGGTGAAGACATGGTTGGAATGATCCGAGAATTAGGCTCATCCAAGTCATTGTCAGTTTCGATGTTATCTGCTCCAAAACCTGCAATCTAAAATGGATTTTCAAAGGTTAATTAACCTTACATGTTGACGAAGTGAAGCAAAAACCTCCAAGTGATGTCAAATGAAATGTTGGAGAACTTGCCTTATTTTTCTACTCTAGCAGGAGTTCCTATCAATTGGACCACATTTTGCAACAAGGAACTACAATTAATGACTTATGTTAGGAAAAACATATGTCTCATTAGTTTCCCTATGCAGAGAGGTATTTTCGGCTATGAGCAAGAAATTGTAGTTCCTTATTACAGGATGTAGTCTGATAGCAGAGAATGATAAATTCAAAAAAGCCTCAACCTTCTTTTTTTTTCTTTTTTTTGGGCGCTTTAAAGCAAGAGAAAATCATACTGTATATTACAGTTAGGTTTTACCGGGAAGAGGATTGAAAAAGATTTGAGCCAATGATATAGTACTGCCTTTCTAGAATGGACTTTCACAGTAAAAAAGCCAAATTTTAGGCCACTTCAATCTCTTACAAAATATGTGGCATTCTTATTTCACACTTTTCAGACAACACGATACATATCAACAGTGAAACTGTAGGAACTCGTATCTCGGTTGGCGACATTGCAGACTTCCCGTCATCCTTTGTTTTTAGAATTGCAAAATTTCTTGAATGAATACTGCCCTGAATTTTCTACTTTGTGCGATGAAAATTGCATAAATATTAAAAGCAATAGCATTGGTTTTTTTTTTTTTTTTGATCAAATCAAGTAGAAGCAAAGTTTGAACCAAAGAAGACAAAATACCAATTCCTGCAGTTTCACTATCAATATATAACTTTTTGAAACAAAAGCGCCTTAAAAAGGAACCCTTGCTATTTTAATGGAACAATACAATTTGTAATACAGAGACATTCAGCAGTGATTCAAAGGTCAAAACCAGTTTATTAGATGACCTACAATTTGAGAAAAAGTAAGAATAATCTGAGTTGGAGAAGTTACCGACCTCCCTTCGTTTTCGTGCATTATTACTGACTGATGAAACATGCCATCCAATCACAGGCATTTGCACAGTTTCAGAGAGTGACCCTTCCAGTGCATCCTGCTTAACTTGGTTGAGAAGGTCCATTCTGTCAAGCCACACTCGACTATCACAGCCGATCTATGAACAATAGGGGAGACAAAATTAAGAACATTAACAACGCTTTTAAATAACCTCCAGATAAGAAATGTTACATGAAGAATATACAGACATTATTTCCCCCTCCAAAATGGGATTTATGGTACAACGATTTTATCATTCAGTTTCAGTTTCACTGTAAAAACAAAGTTTAAAGACCTTTTGGAATTTTAAAAAATATTCTCTTCCATCTGGGGAAAAGTTTTCTTGGTCCATTAAAGTTTCTTTGATTCAGATGAAAAGAAATTTATATTTGAATTAAAAACACTTCTTGAATAAAAAATAAACAAAGACAGAGAGAGACAAGTTGCTTCAGTTTGCTAGCAATCGGTCATTATGCTTATATTTAAAGCAACCACTAGTCCTGCTGAAATTTTAATATAGAAAGTAGTACAAATGGGGGCAAAAAAATATCATTAGGAGTAACTTTTTTCAAATCAAAGAAACTGCCATTGAGCAATAAAGCTTATCTTCAAACAAAAGAGAATATTTCTTCAAATTAAATAAAAAAGTTTTCATACAATTTTTTCCGATGCTTCAATTTCAATCAAAGAGGGGTGGGAAAAGCAAGTAATTGAAGATGTAAGTCAGAAAAAACCTGAAATTAAAAAATAGTATTTTGAGAAAGTACATTTCAAAAGTTCAATTGCTGTTACACTACGGCTGAGTAATTTCGATTAAAAAAAAAAGGAGAAGAAAAAATAAAAAAAAAGAGTGCATTTACTGATCAAAAATTGGGAAACTATCGTGAGATTTAATGTGTAAATACTTGTGCATATGTTGAATGCAAAAATCAATTTCACCGAAAATCAATGTCAGTTATCACAAGTTTCGGATTGGGTACCACCTGGGAAGACAAATAACTTACCTGCCAAAGAAAAGACGATGACTCTTTAGATCTTTGCTGCTTCGCATCACCTGGGCCAGCAAGGAGGACTGAGTTTAACAAGAGATCATCATCTTCGTCAGGTAAGAGAGAAACCATACTCTGTTCAACACAAAACAGTGACATTTAAATAATTCGTTTGGTTTTGCAGGTTGCTATTTTTACTCTTTTTTTACGCTGCCTTTTCCCCGAATAAGCTTTCCATTACTAATCAGAACTTAGTTTGGATCAAAATAGACACACGTTTCCATCATCAGCATGAAAAAATAATGTAAATACCTGTTTTATTACAAAAACAAAAATTCTTCAAAATTTCAGACTTTTTGAAATTGGCAGGTTTTTGAGAAAAACTTGGATAAAACTATTTTACTTGATAACATTGATGGCCAAAGTGTAGGGCTGAGTATCTCTATTTGCAATTTTGTAAACTTTCTGTCATACATGATTTCTTCTTTGGAAAATTAGTCAACATAATTTCTTGTAAAACTTCCTTGACTTTTCTCTTCTATTAGCAGAATATTCTGTAAAAATTTCAAAAGCTATCAAGTTGGCTACTTTCTCTTTGAAAAATAAAAGAGGGGCAGAAATTTATAAACTCCCAAGAGGAGGTTTACGATTTTGTACTCTAGGCATCCGTACACAGTTGTATATAGTATTTGAATCAAACAACTTACATAATGCAAGCCTAGATAGCCAGCAAGATTTTTAATTGACGCTATTTTTTGCTCGTTGCTTAAGTCATCGATAGCGGCATCGACCACCAAATTTATCACAGTAATTTCTTCATCTGCTTGACATTTCTAAAAGGAAAGAAAAGAAAAAAAGTAAAATGAAAATCAAAAGAGAACACAGAGGAGGAGAAAGTGTCCTTCGGAAAAAATGGTGAAAATAAAGAAAATTTGAATAAGTTCCAGAGCAAAAATGGGGGATTCAGTATTTTCTGATAGGTTCTCTTTATGCAAAGAATCAAACCATTTTTTGACTTATCTTTTTTTTTTATTATTAAGTATCCGACAAAACGACTCAACAAATTTAATTTTTGGATGATTTTTTGGATTTATCTTTTGCTTGTTTAAGTCTTCAAAAGTTTTTCTACACATGATTGTATAACAAGACACTAGTGCTCCTTTAATTAATATTTTGGCATTAATTGCTATCGCTGAAAATGAAATTTCAAGGATCAAGCTTTTAAATTTAAGTGATGAGAGACTGTAAGCATGAATACGATAGCGAATAATTACCTGGTCTTTTTGAAATCCATTGAAGTAACTAAACGGTAAAACATCAACTGAGAAAACGTCATCAACAGATTCTTTTAATTTTGGATTAACAGCAGTAATTTTAATGTAAATTTCTCCTGTATCCTGTTCAGACGGTACACCTTCTAGAATTCCAGAGGTTCGATTAAAGGTTAACCATTTAGGTAGAGGCCTGTTTTCAGTCCCTTCCACCTATAAAAAAAATTCAAAGTTATCATTAATTTTGGATTTTAAGAGAGGCAGGGAGGCAATTCAGTAATTTTTAATTCTTCAGTTATAAAAACAAATTTTCCCAAGCTTTGAATGGGACAAAGGCCCCCAAAAAATAAAAAACTTGGAACATATTGCAGTTTCACAACTGCATTTTTAACCGGTAAAAAAAGGAAAATTAAAAAAGAAACAAACTGAGTCTCATTGCTGTAATACCTGAGTCTCACAATGACAGCGGTGAGGCTCAGTTTGTCCCTTCTTATTTTCCTTTTTTCCCAGTTATGCAGTTGTGATACTGTGGAACATCCAGGCTTTTCATTTTATGCCTTTATTTTTGCAGCCTTGGTACAATTTTAAGTTGATTTTGTTTTAATTGGAAACATAGTTGCCATATCAAAGACAGCAAGGTAAAGTACACTTAGACTGAGTTCAGTGGAAAGAAACCAAGCACCATTACCCTGGTAAAAATTGGCAGTAGGATCTGTGTTTCAAAATACTATAGACCTACAGCCGGCTGTTAGATTACCTATAGTTTCTATACCCCGCTATACAATTTCTTATAGCCTTTTACAGCCCATAGCGATAAAGCTGCAGCCAGGCGATAAACTGTATAGTCCGGCGATAGAAACTATAACTGGGCTGCATAATTTATTATCGCTTCGTACAGCCTGGCTGTATGATTTTATATCGCCTCCTATAGCCGGCTATGAGAATTCCTATAGTCTTTTGAACAGCAGCTCCTATTGCCAATTTTTACCAAGGTAAGAAAGAAAAAAAAAAGGATTGTAGTTCCATATAAGGGTGATTTCATACTGACAGGAATAGCTGAAATGTGCAACACCGTAAAAATAAAAGTGCACCAATTTTAACCAAATTTCATTCCTTCGTTTTAAAGGTATTGAACTTCTGTTTTCCAGCTTTGGCAGGAACTATTTTGATTCAGTACAAAGTTACCGTGATTGACAAACAAGCCATTGAATCAGGTATCAACTCTTTCTGTGAGACTGCCCGGAGGTCATGATTTATGGTTAAAGTAACATTAAATTGAGGATTTTGTGGAGTGAGGAAATAGTGCTACACACCTAAAAATCACTGGTTTTCATAAAAATTAAAGTTTTCAATGTAAAAAGAGTGCCAAATTCTCAGTAATGGTTTAGTCGGGAGAACTTCAGCGAACAATTTGATGAGAGTTTTGAAACTCCTAGCTTCAACTGGCAAGACAAACAGTGCACTTAATACAGCTGCTAAAATATGTTGCCAAATGTGGTGACACTTCTTTTAAATGACTTTTCTCGCTTAAAAATGAACATTCCAGTTCCAAATGGCAATTTTCTTGAACACTAGAGTCTCCTTCCGGCAAATATTTCCCAAGAATCCATGATCAGTCCTGATTTATTATTGCAAATTGCTCTTTTGCTTCAAAATCGCGGTTGGTGACGCATCACCGACCGGACATTTTCAGCGTTTTAAGTCTCATACTATCTGATATAATCATACTATAACACATTTTTTAGCATGAATAAGTTCAGGAGATCATTCTTATTGATTTATCAACTTGATTTTCAATAGTTTTGCTCTAAGTTGTTTATAACCCATATCAACACGACTATTCCTTTTATCATGAAATCACCCATAACTTAATTTTTAAAATACAGCTAGACCCTCCTTTAAACTCGAAGCATTTCTCCTTGACTTTGAATTGCTAAGATTGGTCTCAACTAATTTTTTCTTCTGATGTACAGTTTAGTTCCGTTCTATGTAATGGGCCTGTTCCAAACTTTTTTTAGAGCAAAAATTAGATTAGTTCCTTATAGATAATGTCTCAAAAATCAAGATGAGCGCATCGGCAAACTCTGAAATGCACTCCTAACTTCACAATCTGTGAAAAAATTTGCGTTTTTATAAGATTCCCGCTTCAAAAAGGATACTACAGCACAGGTGATTTCGTTGGAGGAGTTGTTCCATTCAATCCCTGCTCAACATGGCCGACATTTTCACGCGCAAATTGAGGAGAAGACGAGGTCAATCAAGGTGGATATCTATCAATGCGAGAAAAATGTGAATGTTAACACGCCGATTGTTATCAGGTGGTTAGAATCATCGTTCCGTCACATGTGTTTTGGCAGATTGGCGTCGGCTACGTTAAATTTTGCATAGTATCCTTGTGAGCAGGGATTGGACGGAATGACTCCTCTAAGAAAATGTTCACCTATGCTGTGGTATTGTTATGGAAGCGGGAAGCTCGAAAAAACGCAAATTTCTTGCGCATATTGTGAAGTATGGAGTGCATTTCAGACTTTGCCAATGCGCTCATCGTGATTTTTGAAACATTTTCTATGAGTAACAACTCTTAATTTTGCTCCAGCAAAAGTTTGCAACGGGCCCATTACGTCCAATTATAATTCAAAAATCTTTTCTTAAGTATTGAAAAAATTGAGTACTTACCTCATAGTGGCCAACAGTCCCAGAAAATGCATCAGGAGGCACTGAAAGATGGAATAATCTGCCTGCATGAGTGGAAACATCTGGTATACCCCATAGCCTTTGGACAGAGGAGACTGATGTCTCTTGATTTTGAAGCAGAAAAGAATCTTCAGCACTAATATCTATTGAGTCAAAATTTACAAGTCGTTGTTGCCGGACCTGTTCATTTGTTTGAGCGGCATTAGTTAGAAGATTTGGTACAAATAGGAGCAAAGAAATAGAATAACTTATAATTCTCTGCATTTTCAATGACTCTTTCTTCTTCAAATTGAAATCAGACTGTCATTCCAACCTGCAACAAGTAAATAAAACCTGAATTATTTATCAATCAGGATTTTAAAACAAGAAAGTGCGACAGTGGGAGTTCATCTGATAGGAGTTGGAATCAAAATGAAATAGTTTAGCTCCTCAGACAAAGATATGGAGGTCTAAATTGGAACATGACTGGAGCGAACCCAGAGAAATTAGTGGACTGCGATTGAACTTGACCCTTCATCTGGGAATCAGAGGCAAGACAGCATTCCTCTCCTGTCTGCCGACAACAAAATACCTCCTTGCTTTAATAGGGTAACTGAACCAAGAAAGTGATATCCAACTATTAACGGACTGTAATATTCCAAATTAAGGCCTTTCTTTTAATGATCGGCGAAGGTACCGATGGAAATCCATCGGCTGCCATTTCGACTGTCAATCCTTCGATTAGTCAAGGGCGTTTTTTCATCCGAAACGCAGAGGATCGCTACGGAACGCATCGCTTATCTATCCCGTTCCACTGGCGCGTTCCTGTGGAGCTCTTGGACCGCTCTCTTGAGGTGGGTTGAGGCCGCAAAGATCCCGATCAATTGCTTTCCGCTAATAAAAAAAAGCCCTTCAGTAGTTTAAGAGCGTTTCTCCTTCCAATGGATACCATTGTAAACAAAAACTAATTCCTGACCTACAAAAAAAATCATTAAAAGGTTCGATCAGTTTACAGCATAAAGATGGAAGCTATAGGTTAGCTGATCCACCAATGGAACAGATACCGGAGAAATGACCGCTACCTCCCATCAGTAATCGGTGGTACCAAATACATCTGCCGATCAATCGCAACAGTCATGCCGTCAGAGCCGACCAATCAGTTTGGAAGAGCACTTAGGTGATCAACAGTACCACCGATCAATAAAAGAAAAGCCCTTAGGTTGACAACAAAATGAAAGATGATTCTAGACTGAGAGTCCGACAGTCCTTAAACTGAAACTGCTTTCATCAACAGAGGATAAAATACAAATGTGACCACATAAATTCGACTAATGAATGACAGAAAAAAGAGGCTACCTGCTGCAGCATGTACGGTTCACAGGTTAACGATTTATTCTTTCCGTCAGATCAAATGTTCTAATTTTGCGGTCGCAGTATTTGAGCACCAGACAGGGCGGGTGTCTAACAGTGCAACATCCTCCATCTCAAAGTTCAAACCCAGAGATTAGGCAAAGAAAATAAGAGCATGAATAAAGGGAGACCTATGAAAGAATAAAAACTTTGAAGGCTGTCATAAAGGGAGTACAGAAGTCTTGATATGCATCATTGATCAGAGAGATAATAGCTGTCAACTGTGTTACACAAACCCTCCCACCACCCACACAAACACCAACGCCAGAAGTGGTTTATTTCGGAAAGAAAAGATATTGTTATCATTGAAATGTGAGTTTCGATTTTCTGAGCGGATGAATGTACCAAAAAAGGTACATAAAAAAGGAGATAACACTCGAAGAGTATAGAATAAACTAAATTTGGGACATCGTCATCAAGAAAAACTACTTACGGCTCATAACCTGAAAACTGAGTCATCAAACAGAGGAGAAACACCGAAATACTGTATGCAGAAACTTCGAACACGTCGTAAACTGTACATAAATACTAAATGAAGTAATAACACGATAGAACACAATAGTGGGGCAAAAATTGGGGGGAATTAGTTGAATAAAAACGAAAAACAGGATACATCATTGAGCTTTCCTACTCCACCATGGTGAAAAGCTCAGCTGCACTGCAGTGCAAGCACAGCACAGAGAAAATACAGAGGAAGGTGGTGATTGGGTGCAGGGACCAGTTCTATAGGACCCTGGACTCCCGTAAGAGTCAATGTAAAAATTCGTGAGCAGGTACTAGTGCTGCATTCTCGCGTAGGATCCTCGCAACTCACTGCTGTTATCAGTTGTTGGACTTCATTAAAATCCGTAGGATCGCGTATAACTGCAAAAAATCGAATTTTTCACCGTTTTACTACATGCGGCGGGCCCTTCCTTGTCGAAAGGGGTCGAAAAACGCCAAAAATATACTTATTTTTCAAGAATTCAGCCGCCTTATGTGTTATTTTTCAATCTCCGGCTTAACCTCACTTTTGGAGCGGGCGATGGATGAGTCGAGGTTCGGGGGGAAGGATCCTCTGAGTTGACTAGGATCCTACGCGAGAATGCGCTGCAATCACCCGCTCACAACAGAACGGCGTCCTATAGAACTCGTCCCTGTTGGGTGGCAAGCGGAGGCGGAGAATTTACTTTTCTACCTACGTCACAGTCACTTCCAAAGATCATAGTTTTCCTGCAACCAATCACAGTTTATTGGCTCACAGCCGCGAATTTCAAAATGAGTAGCCTCAACTCCAACTGCCGACAGAGCACAAGGGAGAATTTCGCCGTCCGCAGCGCGCATGGCAGCACGACCCGCCTTTCATTATTACACTTCCTCTAATGTAATTTTAAAGGTCGGAAATTAAAAAAAATTAATTAAACACGAAGTTGCCCATTTAACAGAAGTCGCTAGTTCAGTGAACCGATATGACAGTATACGTCGTTTATTTGGTAAAAAAAAAAAAAAAAAAAAAAAAAA